TCATGTAGCAATTTTTAAGTTAGTTACTTAATGGTGTTTTTCAAAGTTGTAGGTTAATGTTATCAAATGAGTATTGTGATTTTTGGATGCTTTCCTTTTGAAATAATATGTGTGAATCTGCACATCAGATCTCTCTAGTAGCTTAAACATATCCTAGAAAACATAGCCTAATAGCAGAGACTAATTTTTCTGGTGGTATAATCTGTGTGCATATCTAGCAACATGGAAATTATATTTAACAGACATTCTGACAGGTAGAGATAGAACTCTATGTAGTGTTCGATCACTTCTACCAAGAAGACAGCACTGAGGAACTGCCTTGCTCAGGAAAAATAAAAGAAATAGAATGGACATTCTCAAGCAGTGTAAAAAATAAATAAATGGAGAATAAATTACGACTAAAATATTGCTGTAAAGTATTTTCCATCTATATGTCCCAGGAAACTGGATCCATTAATGGTCATTCACCATGAACAGCTCCTTGTACATCCTTATGCTCAAGTGTTAAGTGCTCAAGATGTTAAGAGCTACTGGAGAAAACCTGGACATCTAATGTACCCTTCTTGTAAGAAAATGAAAAAATGGAAAAATGTCAGGGTAGTCTGGAGGAGCCATAAAACCACAATGCATTGGGGTTGAATGCCTGATGGTGGCCTGGGTATATTTTAGTTGACAGGTGGGTCAGCATCCCATCCAGTTTATATTGTTGTTGTTCCAGTGACCCAAGTTGACCCAAGTGGAGCTGCAGGAACATGCAGCACCTGAATGCCCAGACCTGTGTGAAGACATTGGAAATTCTCAATGAGAGGACTCAAGTGCCAGCTCCTTGGTGTCATTCTGTGTTCACAGCCCCACATGCTGCTCTGTGATTGTTTGTGCGCCAGGGAGCTGCAGGAGTGGGCACTGGGGGCACTGGGGCCAGGCTGCCACCAGCAAGGGCACAGACCTCAGCACCTGCACATGGTGAGGGGGGCAGGGATGGCAGCAGAGCCTGGGGACAGCCATGGCCCAGCTGTCATCCTCACACAGCTCTTTTCCCGGGAGGTGATCCAAGGCTGGCACCATCACAGAGCTGCCCAGAGCCAGACTCCTCAGTGGAGAGAGAAGATTGCAGAGCAAATTGGGGTTCTTGGGGCCAACAGTTTGTGGATACTAATGGTGACAAGCCAAAACTTCTCCAATGAAGATTAAATTCTTTTACATTGCTTATCTTATTTATATGATCCCCTGGTTCACCCTGTGCAGCAGCTACTGCTGCAAGGTGTTTCAGCACCTTCTGAGGGGCCAAGATTCCCCTCTTCTCTTAGCGGCCAAGAGGTTTAGCACTGGGAGTTCTCTGTAGAAGAACCAAGGTGAAGTAAAGGGCTTATATCTTCCTAAATGGCCAGTTCATCAAGTTTACATTGGATGTCCTGACCTGCAAGAAAGCTTGCAAACAATTTGTCATTGTCTGTTCCTGCTAATACCCCTTGATGAGCATTTATAGTGACATTTTCTGATCTGTTCTTCCTAATCCCCCTACTTACCAATTAGTTTACTTCCAAGTGATATGCAATTAACATAAGTCATTAAGTTTGAGAAAGGGTCCTATCTTCTTTTCCTTGTCCTTAGAGTAATCACCAATATAAAACTTCCAAGATACTCAGTTCTCCTAAGTTTTTGTTTCATCATTACTAATGACATAAAGTGGTCTTTTAACATTTGCAAGCAATATTTTGCTTTTCAAAAAATCACCTTGAAAAAGGTTAATTGAAATATTTGGCAGAGTTAAGGGTACATAAAATGCGCTTAGTAAATACACCTACGAATACAACCCTCAGAGGACAAAATGCTAGAAATTACACAGTCCCCAGGGCTTGAACACATTTCAAACAGATGCTTTAGCAAGATGCCATTATCATGCTTTTGCTGACATTCCAGCCCACACCTCCCTATAGTGTTGTTTTGCTACCAGCCTATGAATTTGGCAAGACTGGAACTGGTTATTTGCTCTCCAACTTGCTCTTGTCTTGCTGGTTTGGCCACTGACCAGCCATAATACTGGCTCTCCATGAGCTTTGGATAAATTGAGGGTGATAAATCACAAGTATGATTACATGATGGCAAGTAAGTGGGAGGATTAGAAGCATCAAAAGACATGAAGGTTAAAGCTGTGTGTAGATAATTAAAGAGGCATTGGAGAAAGAATTCTAGTCTCAATACTGAATTGTTTTCTCCTCCAGGTTTCACTAGTGCTCGTTCAAATTGTGCTTCTGCAAACAACTGCAGAAGTCTTCCATCCAAGGGATCCCTCGCCTTGTGCCTCCTGTGGACACAGCCCATGAGGAAGCCATCCTGAACTGCACTCACATTCTCAGGAAGGTCTGAAACCTGTGGGGAGCTGTGTCTGGGCTTGCTGGCATTCCAGCTGTCCTGGCTCCACGCTGCCAGCTGGAGAGTGTGCGTGCAGGTGTGGGGGAAGGATTTTGTAGCACAGGAGAAGGGAAAGAGGTTGAGCTGACCTGGGTGACCTGTGTGAGAACAAAGTACCCTGCAGGTGGAGAGAGGCTGACCTTGTAAAGCCCTGCTCAGTGCCCTGAGCTCCTTGTTCTTCTTCCTTTCACCTTTGCCCATGCACCAATGAGAGTGTCTTTCTGGGGCTTTAGAAGCTGTGGGTTTACAGCAAAACTTTGCCTCTTGGGTAGTGGCTTAAGCACTGTGAAAGCTAAATCTGAAAACAAGAACCACGACTAAGCAGGTATGAAATTGCTTACAAGACTTTTTTTTTATGACTAAAAACACTGTCAGCAGAGTTCTGTTTTGAATTAATTGCTTTTCTTATCCCTTATTGTTTTATGACAGCTGAAATTGCCTGACTGGATGCCAACACACGTGAACAACTAAATGGTTCTTGCATCTTATTTTATTTTATGGTCTGACCTCTGTTTTGAAATAAACTTCCTACTCAACAAATTAAGTTCCCTTGATTTTCTGATGACATATATATGTGGATTTTGAGAACGAGAAGTGAGTGTGGCAGGAAATTCAGAAGTCACGAAAGGGAAAGTTTTATGGTTATTTTTTCTCCCTTCTATAATACAGACCTACTGAAACTCCTTCCCAGTCCTGCCCTAGTTTGTCTGGGCATGTGGCTGTAGTCTAGGAGTTTATACAAAGCTCCGGGGTATCACTGGATAGTGCTCATATCCCCTCTTCTTCATGTACTCCTCACATTGCCATCTCAGATTCACATCCAGGTGGGACAGCTGGGGTGGTGGGATGCTCTTGAGGGGCCCATGGGCTTTGCCATCAGCTATGAGCCCACACAGAAACCATCTCTTGGTCTTGCACAGTACATCAAGCCTGGCATTCCTCCTGTGCCCTCAGCTCCCCACAGCTCTTGGTGTGCTGCTACCATGGCTGTCCACACTAGGGCTGAAGGTGTGGAAACCAATTTCTGAGGGTGACAGGGGTTAGATTCTGCATCTGAAATTACACGTCTATGGTTTCCAGCAATGCTGTGTTAAGAGTAATTGCCCTTTGTTCTGAACTTTTCTGTCAAGTTGCCTCTTAGCTCTTATTACACAGAGAAAATTTCTCTTGTGTATATTCTCCCTTGAGTGCTTGCTGCTGGTTGGGTGGCTGATGCAAGGTTGCTCATGGTACAGAACTATCTGCTTTCAGTGTGCAGTTCAGGGCATCAAATTAGTTTTACTGAAACTGCCAGAATGCACCAAGCCAGGGCCAGAGCAGGGCTCACCAGCCTCCTGCTCTGAACACCAGACACATGCATCCTCACAGCTGGGTGTCTTGGCCTTTTGCGTTGGGTCCTAGTTCCTTACTCCTTTTATGTGCAATTGGCCATAGAGCTATTTCCTGACTTGGAAAAAGAGAAATTTGAGCAATCATATTTACTGCTCAGCATCTGCTAACCTCCCACAGACAGGAGGAGACCTCTCCTAGTACCTTTGTGCTGAACCGTGTTATAAATAGATAGATAAATTTCTGGCAAAAGGATTAAAAAAGAGGGGGTGCCTAACAAAGCATTTTCAGTGATACTAAGTAAAGGTAAGCAGGGATGCTGGAGTCTCACAGCTGTTCTGCAAGCTACTCTTAGCTGGTGCATATAAGTGTGCTCTGGGCAGGATCCAGTGAAGCCTCAGGGCTTTCCAATCGCTGAAGTTCTCACTTTAAGGACAAAAATGCCAGGCTGTGTTACTGCAAGCCGGGACATGGCCTCTGGCCTTCCACCTTCCCTCTTCTGTGCCTGTTTGACCCGCGGACCGTGAGGGGCGAGCCCGGAGCCCGTGCCGGTGCCGCTTTCCCTCTCCCCGTCCTTCCCTCTCCCCCGTTTCTGACACAGGTGAGGAGGCTGAGTTAGGTTTTTTCCAGTTTAAGAAAAAGGGTGAATGTTTCTGAAAGGTTTAACCCTTTTGTTCAGCTGTTTGAGCCATTAAAATATGAAAATACTTTACCTGTGCCTGCTCTCAGTTCTGCAGCTGATCTTGTGAGATGCTGCCACTACTTCAGCCCTGGAGCACATAGGCAGCCAGATCCGGATAAGTTTTGCTCTGTTCTCCATGCTTCAGAGTCGGAACGTTTTTACTACGGCTGTCTGGGAACAGCTTTTATTTCCCAAAATGATTTTGCCTTTACAGTAGAGACGACTAGAGAAAAAATACATTGTACCTCCCCGTCGGGGAATCGAACCCCGGTCTCCCGCGTGACAGGCGGGGATACTTACCACTATACTAACGAGGAACTGTACATTCGTCGTTCCTCCAGTAGGGTTCACATTCTATTTGTTCTCTCGCATTCTGGTGAGGGCCATTCATGCTGCTCGGTTCGTCCGCCCCCTTCTCTCGTAACGCACTGTGGGTTTTGTAGTTCTCACGCCTCTCCCCCGCCCTCTCCGCGGGGAGGGCGGCACTACACCTCCCAGGGGCCTCCCCTCCCCTCTCCGCGGCGGGCTCTGTGCTGCACGGGCTGGCACGGCAGGGCGGGCAGACGGTGCGCGAGCGATGGCGGACCCGAGCTCCTTCGCGTCCCCCGCGTGCTGCCTCACGCGGCACCTCCACCTGCGCTGCCGCGCGGACTTCGGCGCGCGGGTGCTGCGGGGCACGGCCGCCCTCACCGTGCGCGCGGAGCGCGAGGCGCTGCGCTGCCTGGTAACGGCGGGGGACGGGGGGGCGGGGGGCGCGAGGGGACCCGCGGACCGTGAGGGGCGAGCCCGGAGCCCGTGCCGGTGCCGCCTTCCCTCTCCCTGTCCTTCCCTCTCCCCCGTCCTTCCCTCTCCCCCGTCCTTCCCTCTCCCCCGTCCTTCCCTCGGCCGTCGCCCCGGTCCTTCCCTTCCTTCCTTCCTTCCCTGCCGCCGCTTGGCCCTCCCCGGACCCGCCGCCCCTGGCTGCTGCTCGGCTGGAGGCTGACAGCGCCTCGCAGCCCCCGGTTCCCGCTTATCCCCCGGGAGCCGGCGCGGTGCGCAGGGGAAGGGCAAGGCTGTCTCTTCCCTTTAAAGCGGCGAAGAGCATGCTGCCGAAAAGATGGGAATAAATCACTGGAAATCTACATTTAGGGCTTTTTCGCCTGTGTGTTTCGTTATGCCAGCTGCTTTCTCTGTTACCTCTGCATATAGGCATGTGAACCTCTTAAACTTCGCATTATATTCGAAGTTCTGGGCTTTCTGGGTTCTGGGCTTTTCTCATGCTGACTCCATAAAATTCTTTTGTGGCTGGCGCTTATTTTTTTAGGGAAAAAGGCCAGTCCTATTAGTAACAAAGAGTAACGCCTCGTTCGTGCTAAAAATGAGTGCTGCACTATTTAATTCATCTTCCATTGCATGAAGGTCTGGATTTGCAGTGGCGTGTTCCAGGACTGAAGCCTTAGCAGGGGCTTTTATACCGTTCTCCTCACTTCATAGCAGTACTGTGGAGTGGTTACCTGAGTATTTTTCTTGATAAACTCACTTCTATGGTCAGAAGTTGGTTTTCTTCCTCTTTTCTCTCCAGCTTTCCCAGTTCAGTGCTGCTCTCTTAAAATGCTGGTTCCTGGTGGTCAACACAGTTAGTCAGCTTTTCTGGTTTTACTTAGAAAATACTTTTTCCTTCATAGAGACTTGTGTTTAAGATTTCATAGTGCTGCATTTATTATTTTACACTATTTAACTGGTATGCAATATGTTCTTTATCACAGGTCCTGGATACAAAAGACGTACAGGTATTTAAAGTGACTGTAAATGGACAGGATGCACAATTTGCTTTTGGAGAAAAGCACAGTTTCAAGGGGACCCCTCTAGAAATCACGTTTCCAAATGAACTAAGAAGGTACATACTTTTGCCTGCTCCTCTAGGTGGTTTTGAAAATGCACTGTATAAGCTGCTTGTCTGCCTGTAGGGTTGCTGAGTAAAGCTTGCAAAGAGACTTATAAATTAGAATGAGGGTATTGCATTCGTTTGGTATGATCTTGTAGATTAATGTCATATTTGGATTTCATTAGTCAAAACTTCGGGAGTGCTTGTACCTGTCCCCAGACCTTATATCACGTCCAAAATTACTAAACTGAGTAGCAAAATGATGTGAAATGTATCACAATTTTCCCAGTGCTTCTCATCAGTAATACTGTTTCTGCTTTAACGGCCTGGTTCAGAATTGTTATACTGTGGAGCACAAGGAGCAGCAGCCCCTGTCGGGTCTCCTTTTATACAAGGGCTGGTTCTGCATTTTTGTAGAACCTCAGGTTACCACTATGATTAGATAGGAGCATGTTTTCAAATAATCAAAGTTTTATTTTGTTGGCTATGCTAAGTCCAAGTCCCTGAAACCTGGAACTTGAGTTTTGGCAGCATGATGGAGAGTGAACTAACCGTGGTCTACCTCTTAAGGTGCATGAATTAAAAAGCTGTTGCCAAATTACAATATGTTTTTTGGCAGTTTGCTTTGTATGTTGTAACTCGGTGGTATCTCAGTCCTCCATGGTGCCAAAACTGAAAGCTGTGATTGTATGAGGAAGTTCCCTTTTTTGAATACACTTGAATATCAAGTTGCTTCTTACTTATTATTGTGTGGTTTTTATGACTCGTTGCTACTTCTAAAAACTCTTTCAGTTTAGTCTGGTTTCCAAATTTTTTTTCTTTTTATTGTTGTACTGTGGATTAGTGCAGTTAAGAAATACAAATAATGAGGAAGAGAAGGAAATGTCATTAAATAGTTGTCCCTTCTGGAGAAACACTTCTGGTCTCTTATGAAATTGAACATTAAGTACTTGAAATAATTGAAAATTAAGTACTTGAGCAAACAGGCCACATCAGAAATATAGGCCTGTTTCTTTTATTTGACTTTCAGCTGTCTCTTTTTTTTTTTTTTTAAAGTGCTAAATTTCCTGGTAAGAAAAAAAAAAGAGGGAGGTGTGAGGTGTGACCATAGGAATTCACAATCTAGTGTGAGACGTAGTCCCCCATGTAACTATCAATAAAACAGCAATAGGAAAGGGTGAGAGTTACAACTGGAAGTCTGATTGTTCAGAAAGCAAAGTGCCTTATGGTAATACCAGTTATTTTCTCTTTTCTTGTCTAATATGTACTTTGGAATACTGGTTATTAACCAGATGAATACACCTGGTCAGCTTATCTAGTGTGCAGCTCCTCTGATTAGCTGAAGTTTGTTCTGATTTATGGCTGGATTGTTTATTCCAAGAGTTGCATGTATAATCTGGAACTTTCTGAGAACAGAAGCAAGTACTTCCATGTACTTTGGGCGTCAGTGATGGTTAAGATACATTTTTAATAAATAAGAGTATGAAAGTGTCAGGTTGGTGTGTGTTCTCTCATTAGCAAACTGATACCTGTCTTACACATAACTGTTAGTTTTTACTTGACACCAGTTCTGAAACCCTGAATAAAAACTGAAACTGTTTCTTTTTCTTGTTAACCCCTACTGTTCATAGGAATTGATTCTGTAATTTCTGATAATTTTCAGGGTGTTATTTTCTTCTTAAGGATAATACTTACAGAACATTAATGTCAGACACAAAAGTCTAAATTTTTTTATGTACAGGATACTTTTTCTATGTTAGTAAATCATATATCTTCTTATGCAGGGTTTTGCACTTTTTTCTTTGTGTATTGCAGAGGGTTTTTTACACTTACATGTACAAGGTTACTTAGCTGTGACAAAACTATATACATGTAGCTGGCCCAAATAGTTTAAAGAAAAGGTCTGTGCTCTCCTTGAAGGTTCATAAAGACAATAAAGACAATAATAAAAGTGCCTTGGGATGTAAAAAAATGAAATCAGCTAGCCATTTTTAATACCATAATTGAAAGGAAATTATTGCTTTTTAATATGATACTTGTTCTCATTTTTAATGCTTTTGAGACGGTGCTGCAGACCTGTTTTTCAGACATCTTTGCAGAGGAATTTCAGTGTGATCAGGATTTGTGTCAAAACAGTCTGACTGTGTTCTTTATTATACAGGGGACAAGAAGCAATTGTTGAAATCTCTTTTGAAAGCTCTCCACAGTCTTCAGCTCTCCAGTGGTTTACTCCAGAGCAAACTTCTGGAAAGAAACACCCATTTCTCTTCAGCCAGTGCCAGGTTGAGTTCATTTTTTCCAAACTTCTTGACATACCACTGTAATTTCCCTTGGTTTCTAAAGAACTGGAGAGAAAGGTTGGAAAAGGGAAGAGCAGTAGCCTGTAACTCCTAGCTGTGTGTCAAAGGTCCTAAATGAAAACACTTAAAGTCAGGATGTTGTTAAGATTTTATTATATGTTTACAGTTTGGTAATTCTGGGACTGCTTTACCCACTCCAGTATCCTTGTTAAAGAACAAATGGTTCTTTACAACCAATACTTGTGTCTATTGATCTGCCTTACCTAGTATTATTCCTTTTACAGAGGCCTGTAAGCTCTCAGTGATAGAAGTACTGGATTATAGATAATGAATTCTCTGGAGGAGCTGTATGGACTTGCGCTATGGTGTATTAATTGATTTATTTCTAGTCCTCTGCATTAGAAAGACACTTTTGTTTTATCTTCTTTTCCTTTCTCCCTCTCTAGGCTATCCACTGCAGAGCCATTTTTCCATGCCAAGACACGCCTGCTGTGAAACTAACCTACTATGCAGAGGTAGATGAACCTAAGTCATGTGTCTTAACTCAAGACAACTGCTACAATGGGTGAATTTATATTGGGCAGGGTTTTTGGTAGCTGCCAGCATGTGGCCTGATATAAAACCAGATTATTGACCTTCACCTTAATATGAGAGGAAAGAGCTCATCTTCCCTGTGGCAGTTCTCTAACTTTACCATTTCCTTTTTGTATATGTCAATTCTTTTTTCAGTGTTATGTATCTATTTGCAAAAGGAAGTAAAAATGCAGTAGTAAGAAAGAAAGATGCTCTAAAAACAGGAAAAGCTGGCAGTAAGACAGCAAAGAGTGCTGTGAAGTAAAAAACATTTGAAAAGGCTCTCATGTATGCCTTAAGTAATATATTCTGCTTTATAGCTAGGGGACATTTGCAGTCCTGTGTGGTGGTGTTCACAGGGGTCCCAGGAAGAGCGAAGAGACAAGAATGTTGACTCCATGTTTCAGAAGGCTTGATTTATTATTTTATGATATATATTATATTAAAACTCTACTAAAAGAATAGAAGAAAGGATTTCATCAGAAGGCTTGCAAGGAATAGAAAAAGAATGGAATGATAATAAAATCTTGTGACTGACCGAGACAGTCCGAGACAGCTGGACTGTGATTGGCCATTTATTAAAAACAACCACATGAGACCAATCAAAGATGCACCTGTTGCATTCCACAGCAGCAGATAATCATTGTTTACATTTTGTTTCTGAGGCCTCTCAGCGTCTCATAAGAAAAAATCCTAAGGAAAGGATTTTTCATAAAATGTGTCTCTGACAGTCCTGGTGTAAACAGTTTTAAGGAAGCACAAAGGAGGATAGATGTGCACTGTGACATTACAATTCAGTTGTCTGAAGCAAATGAGCCTTTTAACTTCTGTTGGAGGTACTCCTCTGATTAATTCAATATTGCCTGTCTTCATGATAACATTTTCCATATGCCTTGTGTTCTACTTGACAGAGATGACCTAACAACAGAACAGATCTGGGCTGCTCTTTGCTATCAGCTGCTTGTAGTGTGGGGTGTAACGCTGAGTGCCAGCTGCATTGTTTATGTGCCTTGAACTCCTGCCTTGACAGGAGTCTGCTAAGGAAGGCAGGAGCCTCCCCTGAAATGGAGAATGTAAACCCTCCCCACCCCTCCAAATTGCTATAAATTTTAAATTAAGGGGCTCTCAGGCAAAAAAATATGGGAGCAGGAAATAACACTTCTTTAATAGGGAAAGGAAAAAAATAAAGGATAAAATAAACAATGCAATACATTAAAAGAACACTGACAGAGTCAGAACCCAACCTGACACCCTGTTAGTCAGGATGTTGGTAGCAGTCAAATTGGAATTGTGGCTGCAGTCCTCCTGAAGTGTCAGGTGTGGTTCTGTTGGAGCAGGGATCCTGTAGAAAAGGGTGTATTCTTCCTCCAAAGATCCAGTGGAAGAAAAGACAGCTGCTGTTCCTCTGGGAAATCCAGTGGAGAAGCTGTGCTGGTGTCAGAACCTCTGGATTATATCTGGGGAGCAATGCTTGGCTCCTCCCTCTGGGCGGAGCATCTCACAATGGGATGTTATAGCTCTTATCAGTCATGCAGTGACATCCAATAGTCTGTTATCAGCAGGTGTCCCCTCCCGAGGGAGGAGTGATTGTGGTCCCTCAGAGAGAGAGATAAGGCAAACTGCCCACTTGACAAAAGACAACTGCCATACAGATGGTAATAGAACACATCTTGCCTTGCAATCTGGAGCAATATGCTTGGGTGCCCTTTCAGATTTCCGTCCCGAAGGAGCTGGTGGCTCTGATGAGCGCCAACCGCGACGGGGAGGGGCCCGACCCAGAGGACAGCGCGCACAAGGTTTACCGCTTCAGCCAGAACGTAAGTGCTCCATGCTGGGAAAGGGCTGCACGAGGTCTTACTGCTGACCTGTGCAGCTCACAGGTGCCTCAGGTATGGTTTTGAGCTCATGGATAAATCAATCATGTGACTCCCATGGGTTTTTGCCACTCCAGAAATAGGAGGCATTATGGAACTCCAGCTCTGAGAAGACAACCAGTAAGTGCTGGTGCTGTTTACTGGTCTTTTTTGGCATTCCCAGAAAAGCTAAATTCGAGTTTTGAAAATGTTTCAATACTCAAAACTAGTTCTGTCACAGCCCTTTCTGTCTGTACTGATTTTTAGAAAATAGTGCAGATGCAAATAATATGTGAGGAAATTTTGGAAAACAGACCCTGCAAATTTTAAGCTCACCAAGATCTAAGCAGTGAAACTCAGCATCAGAACCAAATTTTAGCTTGAAGTTAGGCAAATTCTAACAACAAATTTAAAAAATTATTTTTGAATGTGAAAACTTTGGTTTCTACGGAAAGAAAGCATCTCCAGCCAATCAAAGATTACTGTTCTCTGGAAGTTTTAGTAAATGGTGCAGCTAGTCTAACGATTCCACTGCTCATAAAGCAGCAATCATGATTTACTCTTCTGGCATTTTTGTTCTCACAGTTTTTTGGGTTACGGTTCTGGTGTTTATGAGCTCTTCTGGTAAGCCCAGTTCATTTTGCTGGACAAGCAGATAAAATTAACATAAGATCTGGGCTGTTGACACTGAATAACTGCAAGGAGGAATGGTATGATGTGACTGGAGAAGAGGAGGGGGTCAGAGTACTCTGAGCTGCAGCAGCTGTCGGGTTTGATTTGGCTGCTGCATGAAACCTGAGAGAGGGGAAAAAAAAGAGTTCCCTTATCTGTGAGCTCATCAGTAGACAGTGCCCTGCCCTCTCTGTGGAGCCAAAACATTTGCCACTCTCAGTCGAGTACAGAAGACTTCTGTGTTTGTGTAATCCAGAGATGAATGTTATCTAGGAATACACTGTTGATAAGCATGATAGACCTATACAAGAAATAACATTTAGTGTAATTGAAATTATGCTACACTTTCTGATACAGAAACCATTACTTTTTTTAAAAAAAACTTGCTTTTCTTAAAAAAAAACCCACATTAAGCACAAAATACATAAATGAAAGAAGACATGAAAAAGGACACACACATCGCCTGACGCTGACAGTGATTTGTTAGAAGAGGTGTCTGTTTCCTCAGATGAAAAAGGCATCAAGCTCTTGGATATGTATGTGTGCTGAGCCTTACCTAAAACTACTTTCTCTGCTCCTGCATAGCCAGGCTGGAAAGAAGAATAGTGGAGAGCAACCTCTGTAAGAACAGGTTTACAACCCAACAGTCATTGACATTTGAATTTCAAAATGTCAAACTAGTAAGTTGGACGTCAAAATGTGGAGGTGTACTAATAGTTTTTTCTTAACTCATCTATAACATAAGTCAAGGGACTTTGTTCTTTTCAATAATATGTTCTGTGGGTTAATAGGTAAAATTAAACACAGATGATGATATGGGTATTTTGATATACAATATTTAAATGGTTTGTGGATTATAGTAGAATAAAATTTTCTGAAATTGTGTCTCCAGCTAATTATGATTTAAAGTCTTACTTATTTAACATTGTTTAAATTCAGATGAAGTGAAACTTTTACAGGGGTGGCTGTATGATCCTCTTTTTTTTCCAGAGCACTTGGAGAAAGCAGTTCTCTATAAAGATACTTCAGTTAGGAGTTTTTTCATTGAAATAAAAAATATTTAGAGTTTTTTTAATTCCAAACATGGAAATCAAATATATACATTTTGATTTTTTTCCTGAATCTTTTGTCTTTAATGTATTTATATCCATAAATATTCTTGTTTACTTCATTAAAGCTCTTCTTGCATCCTTCTGTGTGATAAAACTGCCCTTTATCTGAGCAGTATCTCTTAACTTCTCCTTCCATAAAATGTAATGGAACTGAAATGAATATGGAAAACTGACTTGCTTTGAAGAGAATCCAAACCAGCAGGAATTTTGTATGCAGATTTTTTCAAACAGAGATGATACTTACAGTTTTGTGGGTTTTGCCTGAAACACCTATGAAGCAAGTACATCCTTTAGAAAAAGGAGTGTCATTCAGGAAGAAAGAACAATGTTTTTGAAAAGACAGTGCCTGCCTTTAAGGCAGGAAACTCTGGAGGAAAACTTCTTTATTTATATACTTTTGTTCTTCTTCTGATGTCTGATAACTGACATTACAAATAAGATTTCTTTATTTTTCCTATGTTCTCCACTAGGTTCCCATACCTTGCTACTTGTTTGCTTTAGTGGTTGGAGCCTTAGAAAGTAGGTGAGTGAATCTGTACTATGTATAAATATTAATAACCACAATCAATTTTTGAGCTTTTTTTAAAATTGTTTCTTGGTCTTATTTCTAAATTTAAAGGGTCATATAGATTCAGTTAACCTGTTTATTTGTATCAAAGTGCATGTATATTGATTTGCTCTTGGATAATTTTTTTACTTGTGCTGTAAATTAGAGAAACAGCATAAAGAGTTGGGACCTGAAAAAGCCCTTAATGGTTAAAATTTAGCACAGGGACTAGATGTTTTTTCCTAGTTAACAGATAAGCCTTGTCTGTTAACAGATAAACCTTTTCTGTCAAAGGCAGAAAAGTATTGTTTCAGCCTCATTTCTCATTGGCAAAAGGTTGTGTTAATCTAGGCCACAATAATGTTTTTATATTAGGGCTTGATAGTGTTTAAAAATCCGTAAGTGGTTTTCCTGTTCCTTTGTGCTGAATAATGCAGGCGTGTTGTTTGTTTTGTTTTCTAAGCCTTTGCTTCAGCAATGGAGAGAAAAAGCAGACAAAGATTCTCTAATGAGTTTCCTCTGCAATGTGGGTTACTCAAGAGCACAGTTACACATATGCTGTCTGTATTAGTTTCCCATAGAATTACTTCTGGTTCGTACTTTTTTTACTTTCAACAGAAAGATTGGCCCAAGGACACTGGTGTGGGCTGAAAAGGAACTAGTGGATAAATCAGCCTATGAATTTTCTGAGGTGAGTAATTAACTACAACAAAAAACAGTGTTGTAAGATAACTATTTCACATAGTATTGGAAAAGAAACAGACTACAGTTCACTGTTTTGGTCATCTTTAATTCTCCTTTCTCTTCCTCCCATCCCACAAAATGCTATTATTCTATTGCAGTACAAACTTAGTACTGAAAATACATATTGATACAGTCCCATACTTGTTTTACATGTGGGACTTGTCAAGGTGAAAGAGAATGAAAAATGGGATCAATAGCTTATTATTTGTTCAGTGTTTGTAGTCAAAAATCATCTTAGAAACTAATGTGAGTTCTTTTTTCAGGCTGAAGCTATGCTGAAAACAGCAGAAGATTTGGCAGGACCTTATGTGTGGGGACAGTATGATTTGTTAGTCTTACCACCTTCTTTTCCTTATGGTGGTATGGAGAATCCTTGTCTTACTTTTGTAACTCCAACACTACTGGTGAGTACAGCAGCGATAAAAGTCACCTCTTCCTTAGGGATTGCATTATCAATTAGGAGATGGATATTAATGCACAAATTGGATTAGTCTTCTTCCTAGAAAGACCTGTAAATGTTCCTGCCTCCTTTGGAGTTAGGGATCATACAAGAAATTGCATGAAGTGATCTATTTTGAGGCCGACTTAAACCTAACAACTAACTTGTCTTTCCCTCTTCTTTTCAGGCAGGTGATCGATCTCTATCAAACGTAAGTCAAAAATATTCACCTCTTCAAGTAGAACACAACTTGAAGATGTATCTGAATTCCTTTATAATAAATACCTGAAAACTTGATCTCTTTTCATTGGGGAAATTAAAAGTTAAGGCACTAAGTCACGAACTCTTACAAAAGTGAGTGTTAATTTTCAGTAAACTCTGTAAAGTATCTATTTTGTATAACCAGCAGATGGAAGTGTCATGAGAGCCTATATACACAGGGGGCTGACTGAGGTTAGCTGCTCCATAACTCTTTTCCTGCCCCGTCAAACCACAATATCTACGTACAGATATGTTTAAAAATCTCAACTGAATTGGCCTCATCAAAATCATTAGGCAATAACTTCTTCCTCTGTGTCTTTTTTTTTCTGCAAAGTTGAATACTCTGAATGCAATTTTATTGCCTGTCTTTTTACTAGACTGATGTACTGCTAAACTTAAAACAAAAGATTGTCTTAAACAAAGAATACTGAAATATTTGACATGGATACTTTTTAATGTATCATGCGTCATTAGCTTTCCCATTGCTTAGGTGAAGTTGCTTAGGTGAGAAAGCAATACTAGTCCATCACTTGGTATTCTGTATTCTGAAATGTGATTTCATGAACAACTTACCTACACCAAGCTGTTGATCAGTATGGCTCTGTGGCTTGCAGGCTGGATGTTGAAAATTGTTTCTGTCAGCTAGGGTAGCATTGGTCCTCTGCTTAAAATTCATATGGATAGGTCTACAGAACTGTGAATGCTAACTGACTTTGTGAACATAACATAGCAAATGAGATCCCATCAACATTTTGTTCTTTCTATTGGGATCTGATGTTTTTTTCCCAGAGGAGTCTAAAATGGTGCATCTGGTTTTGTGTTTTAGGTTATTGCGCATGAAATCTCTCATAGCTGGACAGGAAACTTGGTAACCAACAAAACATGGGAGCATTTTTGGTGGGTATGATTTCAATGCAATGCAAATCATATTTTAAATTTAATCTGTAAAGAGACTAGTTAAATTGATTTTACCATCCTACCAGTGCTGAGTTCATCAGTGTCTTTGCAGGCTGAATGAGGGTCATACTGTGTACCTGGAGCGCAGGATCGGTGGCCGGTTGTTTGGTGAGCAGTTCAGGCACTTTCAGGCCCTGGGAGGTTGGCGAGAATTGCAGAACACGGTAAATACTTTTCAAGTCATCATACGTGTTTCCCACAAATAAAATTTTTCTTCTCAGCTTTCCTAATGCTTTCTTATTAGAGGATGAACAACTTTGATTCCAAGGTGTTTGATTGCTACCCAAGGGAATAGCTTCATATACTCAGATTAGATAAAGATTTTTGAATTGTTTTAAGCTTTTCTGTAAGGATAAACATCTTTCCAGCCTCTTCTGGTTGTTCTGGGTGTGACTAAATTGCACTATTACCTGTTCACATACTGGTAAGCAGCTGAATGTTAATCAAAATTATCTGCAGCCATGACCATCAGAATTTCCATTGCCTCATGCAAACAACTGATTTTGTACTGTCTAAGAGAGTTGTTTAGTTTTGTGTTTTGTTTTTAGTTTTCACATTTCTAGTCTGTGATATCTTACTAGTTCCCTGAGCAGCCTGAAATTTGTTCTACCTATATCCAGAGCTGAAGTTTTTCTGGCACTTCTCCTTCTGTCAACAGAGGTTTTAAATTCAAAGGCTTAATGATAGTTCAAATCAAAGTAGTTCAAATAGTTTGTTAATAAGGGGATAAATATAGCCAGACTAATAGGTGCTCATGGTTATGACAGACATGATAGTAATTAACTGCTTTAAGACAGCTGAAGCACAGGGTGGTTGATTCTAAATTTTAGTAATTTAAGGTTTGTTAAGATTCAGAACTTTGGAAAAAGAAGGAGAATGCTTTGAAATGAAGCTGTCTCAGTTTTGGATGGTTTATACCTTTATAAATACAATTAGTACAGATCTGCAGGAGTGCCAGTTTTCCTAGATTGATTTGTGTTCTTGTGTCTTTGACACAGATAAATACTCTTGGAGATAAAAATCCTGTAACTAATCTCGTCATTAATCTGGATGAAGTAGATCCTGATGTTGCCTATTCATCTGTGCCATATGAGAAAGGCTTTGCTTTACTTTTTTACCTTGAACAGCTCCTTGGAGGACCAGGTAAGCATTAGTCAGATTTTATATGTTTTTGTTTTCCACCTTAATTTCAAACACTAAAACGTTTTCTTTTTTGTTAGATGTCTTCATTGGCTTCTTGAAGGCTTATGTTCAGACGTTTGCTTATAAGAGCATCATAACAGAGGACTGGAAGAAGTTCTTGTACTCCTACTTCAAAGATAAGGTTGGGTAATACTTAAAACTGATTGCTTGAAACCTTTTAATTATGTGAAATTCACACTTAGGTCAGAACTCATTTAAACACCAGTTCTTTATATTTCTTTTCTTTATTTCAAGAACTTAATATGATGTAATCTGGGACCTTGTGAAGGTGGGTTTGCATTAAGATGCCTTTTATTTTGTTTTCTTTTTGTAGAGGGGAATGCTTTGTTTTGAAGTAATCTGTGTAGGATTCTTTGGGTAATTGGAGGAGTGTTATCAAAACAAATAAAAAGATTGAAACTAGATTTCATTTTAAAACTCACACTCAAAAAAAACCCCTAAAATCAGATATAAAATTTAATAAGGTTTTATGTTGCTTTGTAGGTAGATATTCTTGATAAAGTTGACTGGAACTCGTGGTTTCATGCTCCAGGAATGCCACCAGTCAAGCCTACGTAAGCTGCACTCTTCTGTAGTTCATCTTTTCCTTCTCCAGATTGCATGGGATTTTCCTAAAAGTCATGAAGCAGTTTGTAAACAGGGTGAAAATCTTATGTTTTATTGGAAAATGCCCTAGTACTATGTAGGTGTATATAGCAGTAAAAATAGTCACTGTTAATGTTTTCAGTCTTTTATTCTGTGGTTATTTCATTACGTGAACCTTTGTTTTTAATATTTGACAGGTATGATACGACACTATCAAATACTTGCATTGCCTTGAGCCAAAGATGGATCCAAGTGAGTGGTTAAAGAATGCTGAAGTGTCTCTATTTTGAAAAGCTAGTATTTTTTGTTATACAAAATGAGCCATTCTCTTCTAAAATCTCATTTGTTGAGAGTGTGTGTATTTATAATCACAGTATGGCTGCCAGGGATTTTGCATTTCCCAGACTAGATGTTCAGTGTAGAGTCAGGGGATTAGCTGTGACTTCTGTTTGTGAAGTGCAGTCCATATTTTAACAAGGCACAGAGCCAACTTCTTGTTATACATATGTAGTAACCAAATGGAAAATACTCTTTAAACCTTGATATTATGGCTTGATTTAAAAACAAATGCCAGGGTACCTCTACATTACTGATTATATTGTATTAGCAGTTGTTCCTCTATGGTATACTGGAGTTAGTATGTATTTCCCATCAAAAACTGGTACATAAAGTATATTAATTAATACCACATAATTGTCTCCTAGTTTGAAGCATAAAAGTCATACAACTAATAGAGAATTCAGCATACCCTGCTTTTGTTACCTCTGTAGCTTTTCACTGTACTTGCATCCTATCTTTTAACTTTCTTTTTCTGAATGTTACTTTTTATAAAAAAGTATTTGATTTTTCACTTAACTAACTGAAAGACAGTGGGGATAAAAAGATCAGTGGAGAGAAATAAGTGAAGAATATAAACATCAGAGAGCAGCTGAAGTCCCTCCCTTCCCCTTATTGCACAGATACAAATCAGTATCTTCTTTAAGTGAAATGGCACAACAGTGTGGATATCAAAACAGAAAATTACACCTGATTGTATTTTGAAATACCTATTAAAAATTAAGTACCTGTTCTCTTTTAGGCAAAAGAAAGTGATTTGGGCTCATTCAGCTCAGCAGACCTGAAGGAAATGTCATCTCATCAGTTAATTGAGTTCCTGGCACTGTTGCTTCTGGAGGTAAATGCACACCTGGGATGACTTGATTCTGGTATCACAAGAGCAGACATAGAAGCTCTAACGTGCTTTGAAATTAAGCTACTCTTTTTCTTTTAGGTTTTGCTAAATTAATCTGCTCTCACCATGCATAGTTATTGAAAACTTCAGCCTTGCCTCTCTTATTATGTCTGGCTCTTCAGCTACTGAACAGCACACAAAGTGTTTTGGATTGAAAGCTAAAACCAAAACCATGAGGTGTTTGAATTGGTCTGTATCAAATGTTATAGCAAATAAGCTATAAATAAAATTGAACAAAAATACTTTGTCTTGAATGTTTCAAAAGTACAGAATGTGGGAATTAACTAATATTTATTCCTTGCCCCTTTCCATACACTGGAAAGATAAAAGGAACAAATAAAATATTTATCATGGTAGGACTTGAGTTTCTTTGTAGCACCAATCATCCTGAATTACTCTGTTTATTATTGAAATGTCTGGCTTGAAGTCTTCCTCTGGCTTATTCTGACTGTGCAATTTCTTTTTCAGGCACCTCTTCCATTGTCACATGTCCAACGCATGCAGGAAGTATATAACTTCAATGCTATAAACAACTCTGAAATAAGATTCAGGTTTGTTCTAGTATGGGCACTTCTAAAATATTAAATGTTTTCATAAAACAAGTTGTCCTGCTTCACCTAAGACATCCTGGTTTAGAGAACTGGGACAGGGTTTGGGTTTGGGGTTTTGTTGTTGTGGTTTTGTAAAAGCATGTGCAGGCACCGTGCTTGGTATCCTGTTATTCATGAATTGGGCAAATACAGTCTTCTAGTAGAAGAACTCAGTGGACAGCAGATAAGCTGTTCTTTATTTTAATCTGGCATGCTAGCAAAGGAACTTGATGACCTGATAACAAAGGTTAAACATTTTGTATGGTTTCTACTTCTTGTAACATGATCAATTTCCTTTTAAAGCAAAATAATAGCTGGTTTCAATTTCATTTGGTTGGTTGGTTGTTTTATCCATTGGACAAATGGAACAAGTGCTGTACAGTTCAGTTCTGAGTGATGCAACTGGACACTATTGTAATATAAAAAATACATAGCTGCAGAAAATAATCCTCCATTTTGGAGGAACTTGGCTGCAATCTTTTCCTGTTGTACAAAAAAGCTGATGTATGTAATGTGCTAGTCAAACACTAAATATTTGATGTTGAGCTAGAATCTCATTCCCATGATGACACAGCAGTGCTCAAAGCATTTATGGGAACAGAATCGTTAGATAACCAACCACCACACTACCACAAATGAAATTATAAGTGCAACCTTTTTCTTCCACCCCCAGATGGCTGCGCCTCTGTATCAGGTCCAAGTGGGAAGCAGCTATTCCTCTGGCTTTAAAAATGGCAACAGATCAGGGCAGGATGAAGTTTACTCGACCATTGTTCAGGTAAAAGTAATCTCCAAATCACAGGAGCTCATGCTGTTGACATTTCTAGTATAATGGAATGAATAATGCTTGAAATTGTTGAAGTGGCATAACACAGAATTCTCTGTATACTGTGAACAAGAGTATCTTCAGAGGCGCTTACCACTTGCTGACATTTTTTTGCAGAGAAAAGAGCTTAGTGCCAGGATGCACTAAGCCTTGCATTAAGGCAAGGCTTTTGAGGGAAAAGTAAAACCTTAGGAAAATCCCTGTTGTATTATTTTCCTGGATTTTTGTAATGGTGCCTCCCCCCACTCCTTCTTTTACAGGGACCTTTATGGTTTTGACAAGAGTCGGGATCTGGCTGTCAAGACATTTCTGGAGCATAGGGCCTCTATGCACCCTGTCACTTCAATGCTTGTGGGCAAAGACTTGAAGCTGGACCAGTGACAAGTGTACTTATTTCTTTGAGATTTTTGTGTTGCTGAAAGAAGAGACTGATTGCCCAAACTGTTGATATGCGTGCTTGATTATACCATAAAATGCTCTGCTGCTTTGGTGCTTCTGTAACTTAAAATTAATTTTCCAAATCAAGTTCAGTACTGTTGCAGTAGATAGCACTGCCAGCAGACTCCAAGTACTCCCAGACTCTGACTGCAGGCTTCCCTTGCAGACTCTTGACTGCAGCAGGCCCCATCAGCAGCCCCTCACAGCAGGGCCAGCAAAAAAAAACCAAAAAAAAAAAAAACCAAAAAAAAAACCAAAAAAAAACCACCAAAAAAAACCAAACAAAATAAAAAAGGAAACAAACAAAAAAAAAACCTCTTCCTTTTCTGTCTCTCTCTGCCTCTCCCCCTTGACCAGCTAACCTACTCTTTTATAACACCCATCCTCATTGGACACAGCCATATCCCATTAAGGGCAAAGCAGCTCCTCCTCTTTGATAATTAGCACTGCTGGAATTCATCAGGGGCAAGGTTGCTTGCAGTCCATTCTCTTACACTTTCTATTTTGCATTTCCAACTAAAGCAGCAAAATTGCAACATCTCTGGAATTGAGAGAATGTTTTGATTACAGGCAATTTTTAGAATACACAAAAACTGTTCTGAGATGTGGTCATTTGTCAGTGACAGAATTGAAGAACTTGGAAAATTAATTGGTGGATGGTATGGCTCTTTGTGCACAGCATTCTTTTCCATAGCACAGTGGTTGAAACTTCAAGTACCTAAAGAATAAAAAATAAATCTTTTCATTCCATACTTGTCTGTCTTGTCTGTGTATCGATCTGTACAAAAAGTTTTGATTTAATAGTTTTGTTTTATTTATTCTTCTTTGTTGTGGGAGAAATTTTTATTATGAGTCCAAGAGGACAATGAAGGCCAAAATGTTTTTTCAACCCACTATTTATTTTCAAAACTTATTATTGTAGGGGGGGCTAAAGCCCAAGTCTTTCCTTATCCAGTTTGAGTCTTTTAATATTTGGATTTTTTAACTGGTTCTGGGCACTACCCCTTGTGCTCATATAACAACTGGAGATTAGTTCAAAAACAATGGGAGAGCTGTTTCTGTTTTTCCTGTATTTGTTACAGCAGTTCCAGCCAGTGGTTTAGATGATGCTGTGGCAAATGCTGCCATCTCTAGGCTGAGTCTTCCAGCAAGTTTGATAAGAACAGTTTGCATAAATTAAATCTGTTGGCATAGGGATAACCCATATCAAGGAGTGACAAACAAAACCAGAAAGTGCTGGTTCAGGGGAGAAGAGTGGAAGTATAATCCTGTCAAAAGGCTTGGTTTAAATCTAGCACTTAGGATGAGAGGGGAGCCTGTCAGCTGATTTACTGCTGAGTTTTGAGCTGTATAAGATTTCAGCTTGTGGTTTAAACCCAGACAGTGACTAATCCCCACACAGCCACTTGCTCTCTCCCCCATGGGATGGGATGGGATGGGGGAGAGAATTGGAAGAGTAAAAGTGAGTAAACTCATGGGTTGAGATAAAGAAAGACAGTTTAACAGATAAAGCAAAAGCTGCACACACAAGCAAAGCCAAACAAGGAATTAATTCAGTGCTTCCCATGGGCAGGCAGGTGTTCAGCCATCTCTAGGAGAGCCGGTTTACTCGGGAAGATGAATTCCATCACCCCAAACGTCTCCCTGCTTCCTCCTTCTTCCCCTAGCTCTATATGTGAGCATGAGCTCTGGTCACAGGAGGGGATATCTGATGTTAGCAGGCTCTGGTTGGAGTTATCAAATTGCAATGAAAACTGTCCTTGGTTTATAAATGCCTTCTGTCACTAGTTTTGGGGTAACTTGCATTTTGTTGTAAAGCCTATGTATAATATACAGTGCTTTGTCACTTAGAGTTCCTACTGCCAGATAATCCTGGTTTCTTGGTGTCAGAGTCAGAAAAAAGAAAATTGTGTCAGGCATGGCTTTCTCCAGCATGGTCCTAGGTAGCTTTGCAGAGACAGTGTCCCTGACTGATGGATCCCAATATAACATTCCCTACAATAATTAAATCTCTAGGTAGTCCCTTTGTTTGGGACCACTAGTGTGGGAAGCATAGACTGTGAGTTGTTACCATTTTGCCTTTAAAACCAGAAGTATTTTCAAATTCTGTGTGTTCATGGTTATTGCTAAACTTTTTTTTGGCACCATCTCAACAGCTATCTCCATATCTTTTTCTCTTTGCATCTACCTGCAAAGGAAGCATGACGCAGCAGCACCAGGCTTAGTGTGCAGCTGTGGCCTGGTGTTTGTTGATAACTGTTCTTATAACGTCTTCCACAGCATAAGGGAAGAGGTTGTAGAAATTAATTCATCTTTTTCTTACCTACAATAAAAAAATATGTTTTCAACTTGAGCATGGGGCTGATTAAAGCAGGCTTGCTCCCTCTACTACCTGCTTTTATCCTGCTCTGGACAGAGCTGTAAAAGTATAATAGAGTCTTCTTTCAGTCCTAGCAGTCATGAGCAACCCGTATTCCTAAGGTGCCTCTCTTGCAGCTCTGCCCCTTAGTTTTTGTTTGTGTGATTTGCTCCTGGGCAATAGCTGTTAACTCTTATTAAACCCTTACATTTTTAGAACAGTTGCACGGCATCTTAGTCCAATTTATCCATTCCTGGTACATAAGCTTCAGCTCCTGGTTTTTCATTTCTGTATTCCTGATGTGATCTTTGGAAAAAAATTCCTGTGGCAATAGCTAGGGAGGTGTGCCATTTCTGTGAAATGGGTGTGTTCCCTGGGTTTGGTTTGATTGGACAAAGTCAGCCAAACACATTGATCTCGTTTATTTACAAAGATGAGGATGTTGAGGGTGGTTTTTGCCTCTATCTGATTGCAACACTGGGCTCTAGATAGGCACAGCTCTTCAGGCCATCATCACATGGTAAATGTGAGGCTGCTGCACACTGCAGCCCTTCTTGGTCAAGGAGCAATTTCAAGAGAGAAAGCATGCCGAGGTACACGGTGCACGTCCGAGGAGAGTGGCTGGCAGTGCCATGCCTGAGCTCCACAAACACCATTGAGTGGCTGGGAAAGGAAGCTGTGAGACGGTACATGAAAAACAAACCCGACAACGGGGGATTTGCCTCAGTGGAAGAAGTCAAGTTTTACATTCGAAGGTGCAAGGGACTTGGCTTGCTGGATCTTGATGATACTGTGGGGGATGCTCTAGAAGACAATGAATTTGTTGAAGTGGGTAAGCAAAGCCTTAAGCATTGCATTGTAGAATGTCTTTGTTGTCACCTGAGTCAGCAAACTGTGTCTTTATCTAGATTCATCTAAAATTGCACCTGAGAGATTGTCTACCTTTGTAAATTTTGTAAATAAATGAGCTTTTATGGAATAATGCCCAATAATTTAAGAATATTTGACTTTTAAGAACAGAACGACATAAAAGTTAGAAGGTACAGGATTCTATATACATCTTCTCTATCTGCTGTCATATATAGTGTAAGCTGTTCCGCCTTAGCCTTTGGAATATCTTAAATAAATACATAGTTCCTTTTACTTTTCCAGAAACATGCAAGTATGCTCAGGCTGATAACTGGAAATTAGAATTCTTATTGGTGTGAATTGTAATAAATTGCAAATTAACTTATGTCAATAATGCAATTTAATCCTGTATGTGTTTATTCTGCATATTTCTTCTAGTTATAGAAGGAGATATAATGTCTCCAGATTTCATACCATCTCAGCCAGAAGGAGTACATTTGTATCCTTTTTGAGTGCTTTGTGAAGTTTTTACAATTCCAGATTTATAATTTTCTAGATTGCCTGCATTTTTTAGATTTCCTTCATTCTTAAAACACATTGCCAGCTGTAATTGAGTGGTCACTGCCTGTGAAATCCTGTCTGCCCTTTTTCCTTTACAAAACTTTCAGATACAGCAAATATCGAGAACCAGAACAGGTGAGAATCACCAATGATTTTACAACTCAGTAACAAATCCTGCTACTCACCAGAAAATGCTGAGAGTTCAGCCAGCATTTCACAAAAGCAGGGGCTATTAGATTGGCTGGGTCTAGGAAACTAAACTACAATGTGCTTATTATGTGTTTGTTATCCGGGTTCCTGTCTTATGAATAAGCATGAAGAAGCTTCCTGTCATTGCTGAGTTGTGACTGTATTTTTTATTTATAGTGATTATTAAGTAACTTTGTATCTATATCCCAAACTAAAAGGTGGTTCTTTGGTGTAGTATATTTCTTTAGATGGCAACAGCTTAACAACGGAGGACTTGGTCAATTTAGGAAAGGGACTCTACAAGATAAAGGTAAAAATTCTGGACAAATACAGCTAAAAATTACATGCTTATTTTTCTACAGCTGAATAATGATCAATAAGCTAATATTTAAACTACTCTTGTTTTAGCTCACACCCGAAGCTGAAACTAAAGTCAAAAAATCACGAGAAGTGATTGAAAGGATCGTAAAGGAACAGACAGGTAAATATTTTTGCTTTTAACTGCTAATTGTTTAGAAGACTTCATCAGGTTTCCTCCTTAACCAGCAGTGTACATTTCTTGCAGTTGTTTATGGAATCACCACGGGATTTGGGAAGTTTGCCAGGACTGTCATCCCAAACAGCAATCTGAGGTATGTTGTGTGTGCAGCCTGCTCTGTCCCTTCTTTTCAGGAAAGGAAGAAGAGGGAGCAGTTTGACCCTGTAGTTGGGGTTAAATGAGAGAGCTGCTTCACAAATTCCTTCTGTTTTGTGCAAAATCAAACCTGATGAGACTTTTTTGAGGTTTAACGTATTTTCTTTTTTTCTGTAGGGAGCTTCAAGTGAACTTGGTTCGTTCACATTCTGCAGGTAATGAGAGATTGCTTGGTGTTTCCCTTTTCTCTGCTTGTTGGTAGGGGGTGAGTAACCGAGAGGGTTCTGTTACTGTTTCAGGTGTGGGGAAACCTTTGACCCCAGAGAGAACTCGCATGCTGTTGGCACTGAGAATCAATGTCCTAGCCAAAGGATACAGTGGAATATCCCTAGAAACCCTCGAGCAAGTTATTGAAGTGTTTAATGGTAAAAAGATGTTTAAAGAAAATCTTCCTTTCCTTTTTTTTTCTTTTAACTGTCTTGTTAAAGAGTGTGGGTCAAGATGCAGATGCTGGTCTTTCAACTTGGTAGTTGTGAGAGATCAGGACTAGAGCTGCAACAAGAGTAGTCCTGCTGGTACCATTGTCCATGATTGTAGGCTGTTACTGTGGCCACACTTGTGAGCTGGCTTCTTTGTTTTCC